TAGAAGAAACAAACCAATATTTTATATTTAATAAAGACATTACCATTAATCTTTTTTTGTATTATTTGGATATAGATAGAAACTCATCTCTATTCTAAGGCTTCTTTTATTAATAACTGTAGTTGGTCAACCTGGTGATTGAGAAACTGATAAAGAACCTGTATCATTTTTGCTCACATTATAATTTGATAACTTCTTAAAAGCCTTTTTAATTTGAGTAATATTCTTTTCTAACCTATTGGCTGAAGTTATAAAAAGGAAAAAATCATAATAGCAATTTTTATACATTTTTGTTTGCAATACAAATCAAAAATATCAAACCCTTTTGTTTTTTGTTTGTATAACAATGGCCATAGCCATGGTATTTTCTTTTTCTCTTAACGTTAATAAATGTTGCATTTTCTTGATCTGAACTGAAGCTAAAACCAGAACTTGAACTTTAATTTTGTATCATTTCAACTTCAATAAATCGCATTTATTTTTTCAATAAATTATAGATAATTTGGTTATTTTAGCTAATAATTATTGAAAGTAATCACAAATTTACCTTTAAAGCTTTATTTAGATGAATATATATTATAATATTTGATTATGCAAAGGTATTTACTAACCATGTTTTTTTTAATGAACTTTATATTATAACGTTTAATCATGTTTGTGATATAATATTGAAAATTAAATCAGGATAATTTTAACTAATATATGGTACATACATATAAATTATATACCATACTTGATATTTTTTTCTGATATACATATTAGGTGACTTTTTATTCTAAGATGAACTTAATATAGCTGACAATTGTAGTATAAAGCATCAGGATATTAGTATCAAGTTTGGTGCATCTAAATTTATTAACAGATTGTTATATTGAGGCTAATTTAAATAGAAAAGCTAAAGATTAACTTTGTTATACATACGTGTTTACTATTAATAAGATTTATTAAATCAAGAAAAAAAATACTGTATCTATATGGTCAGCTAATATGAATATGTTATTGTCAATTGAATGATATGAATATGGTTCTTGTAGGTTTATGAAGATACATATTTTGATAGAAGTTTTACATTAGCTATCATGCAATTATGCTAACTAGCAGTTGACAAGCAAATTTGTAACTATAAATATTAAAATTTTCATAATACAAAGAGACCTATAAAAAAATAACTTTTGTTTAAAACATGTGATTAAACACTTATCTAACATCATATTGTTTTTAATTCTTACCGAATGTTTCATCTCTATAAATTCGATTATAGTATTTTCATTTTTAATCAAATATTCTATTATGTTAATATATATATAGCAGGAAAGCATTGGCTTCATTCAGATATAATATAATTGTAGTAATTGATAGTAGTACTAAATACTAAAAATCTTTTAGTATCTTTAATATTATTATAGAACCTGTAATTGTAAGGCTTTTATATTAATAAAAAATTTAAAAAAAAATTAGAATTCTTGAATAGTATCCCTTAAACCGTCCAGTGGCCAAATATGCCCGCTAGAATATATTTTTTTATATTTTTTTATAATTGCTTAAAAT